ATGAGGGATTTGGTATTTCGAAAGGGGATATGGAAGTGAATATGCATAATCTTACGATGCAGAAAGTATTCAAAGTAGGACCAAAAGGGCGATGGCAGGTACTGGAAGCTGGCAACATCAAATTGAACTTTGATGACAGTTCTTTGGGCAACCCAAGTCCAGTCGGGATGAGGGGAGTAGTGAGAGGTTATCATGTGTTTTGTTGGTCTTTGTGGTGAAAAAACTGCAATTGAAGTAGAAATCTTAGCAGCTCTACAAGGTTTGAAAATTTTAAAGGATAGGGGATTTCAGCATTCGTGTGCCATCAAAGGGGATTATTTGAATATTATTAATTGATGTAATAATATTTCAAGACCATTGTGGAGGCTTAGATCGATTTGGTTGGTCTTGTTGGAGATCGGAAATGGACGATGCGTCACTTACAAACATATCTATAGGGAGGCTAATGAGATTATTGGGTGAAAAGCGGAGTAGCTTTACATTCTTTACTGATTTCGGATGTTCTTTTTGTTTAATCCTCTTGTAATCTCCTTTTGAGCAAACATAACACTATAATAATAATAATAAAAAAAAGGGAAACTTCTCACATAAATCAAATCTTGTTGCATAACATATGGAAAAGTGTTCGGTAAGTCAGCTGACTCACACTATTTTTGGGTTGTCTCCTTACGAAGTATATCTCAAAGATGTATTTTCAATCTAAAATTTTAAGGTTTGATAATCTCAACCTTGACAATTATATAAATTTGAAAAGTTTCTTTTGCAAAATTATAAATGTTATAATTTGAAATCCTTTCTTCATCATCCATTCTAACAATTTATCAAACACGAAATGAGAACTTCTTAGTACTGTTCAATTTACTAACATTACTATTAGTACTGACATTTTTTGACATCCATCTTAGAAATGAGCTGCAGATAGACAAGGGACTGAACGGAAATATGTGAGTCAACTTACTCATAAAAGCTGTGTCCAAAATACAAAAGTTAATAAATACAAAAATTTACTTGATCGCTTAAATTGGTTGTTTGTTCTTAATTTGCTAACTTTTTTTAGGCTTATACTAATTTAGACAATGAAATTGAGAGAGATGAAGTAATCATGGCAATTAGGAATTTAGAATGAATGAAACATAATTCTTATTTTAAATTAAAAGTAAAATGCAAGATGGTCAAAATGCCCTTATTTTAAATTAGAAAATTTAATAATTTACAATTTCTCATAATCTTGTCAAATTACAAAATGAGCCCATCTAGAACATGGGGTTTGGAGAGGCATTTCTGTGATATAAAATTTTATTCCAATAATTTTTACTTTTCTTTTTATTTATTTTTTCATATTATTGTTTGTTAAATATCTATGTGGCACGGTGAACTTATTGAAAATAATAGTTTTAAAACTAAAACTAAAGTTCCAATTAGTTGGGCCCAAAGAATAAAAAGCATATCAATTATAAAAATATTCAAATATAAGGGTTTAATTGGTGATATTTAGTAAAAAATTAAATATAACATCCTTTACAACATTTTTGTCAAAAAAAAAAAAAAAACATACTTTACAACATGTATAATATTAGCACCGTTTTTATTTACTAACATTTCATAATCAATAATGACTTCATAATAAATTTAAGAGCAAGTGACTCGTAACGCGGACCCGAGCATGTCTGGGTCCGGTTCGTGTCTGAGTTATAGACAAAGCCTAAACAAATCAAATTTCTTTGGTTTTGAAAAAGTGTAATTTGATACAAATCCAAAAAGTGATTCATTGTAAACATGGATCAATTTTGAATTGCTACTTACCTGATGCAACTATGATAACATGACATTGTGTAGGAAAGTCCACATTCAACCCAATTTTACTCTAAATCCAAATCTGAATTTGCATTATTAGCTTAAGTATAAATAACAGTAATAGCCAACACACTTTACACTTGTCCATTTGCCTCTTTTTTTTTTGGGGGAAACTTATAAAAAATCCTAGTTTATTATTGAAATTTAAAAATAGTAATGTATATATATTTTTTATGCTCAAGTCCCAATGCATATTGTATTTCATTTTTATTTTATTTTCTATAATAAGGTTAAGCTCAAATTGGGGAGTTGATACGTCTCACCATCTCACATTTATAAAAAAATACCAAAAAAATATTTTAAAAGAAACACCATGATAAAAGACAAGCTTATATTTTAAAAAATTGTAGGGGTATTTGGTCATTTTCACTTTAAATTGATTATTTTTAAAAATATTTTTATATAAGTGTGTTATGGTGAAGTATGCATACACAAATCTTAAGCTTAATGAGATATATAGAAAAAAATAAAAATAAAATACAATACAATAAAAAAGTGGACTTACCCAAAAAAAAAAAAAAAAAAAACCATAAAAATGGGTTTAAGTGATATACAAAGCTACTATTACATTTTCTATTGATTTCACTTTGTTTTTGACATTAAAACTTATCATTTCATTAAGCAATCACCAATTACATAAACAATACTACTTTGAAAAATAACAAATATATGTCCTATCATCTACATCAATATCATATTGTCTAATTACTCCACAAAATCCAACCTAGGAGTGCTTTTAGGGCTCCAAATTTTGAATTATGAAACTCTTAAATCTATAATTTATAGACCTATCTCGGAAAAAAAGAAATATCCGCAGTCTTCTTTAATTTATTTATAACCAGATTCTCAATTTTTTTTCTTCTGAATGATAAAACTGCATTCTTCTTTAATATTTGAACAACAAGATTCTAGATAAAATAAAATAAAATATCTGGATTATAAAATTTCTGCATTCTACTTTAATCTATTTGCAGCCAAAATTTGGATCATTGCACCAGTCCACATGAAGAAAGAAGTACAAATGATGATTTTTTATGTTTACAGGAAGGTAAACCCAACGGCTACGTGCACTTAACTCAGCCAGGACAGAGATATAGAGAGAGAAAAAATTAAATATAGGTTTTCTCTCTTGTAAATTAAGAGAGAGAAGAGAGAGAAGAGAGAGAGAGAGTAAATACAGATTTTATTTCCTTGTGTACCCGGAGTTCCTTTTCACCAGATGCAATGAACACGTTTAATCCAATTAATGATGCAAGAGGAGAGAGAGAGAGAGAGAGGCCAAAGTTTGCATGTAGAGCGAATGGCCATTTGTACATGAACCATTTTAATTCATTTCGAGTGATGCTAGAATATACCTCAAGACCGAGTACGCGTGTGAGCGAAATATTGACCTAGAGAGAGAGAATTAGTTTAGAGAGAGAGAGTGAGGAGAGAGAAAACTGGTTGATTCGAAAATAGGCATTTTTACGAGAGACATTTCACATTGGGTGTGGTTTGTATAAAGCTGAGCTCTAAACAATCAAAGTTATGCATTCAAATAAGGTCGAAAGATATTGTTTTAGTATAAATATTTTTTTTTTAATAATAGCTTGAAATTTTTTTTTTTTTAAATTATAAAATTCAAAGATTAAAAAATAACATGAATTGAATAGATTTATGAGCACTTAAACATATTGAAAATTAACTGTCTTGATAATACGTTACAATATACATTATTTTCGAGACTTGAAACCTATTATTTTTTATCGCAATACATCTTAAACTCGAGATGGTGGAGCGAGAAACCCTAAAATTGGTTGATTGAGAGAGAGAGAGGGAGGAGGGAGAGAGAGAAAACCCAAACATTGGTTTATTTGAAGATTGGCATTCTTACTGGATATTTGAAGGGTAAAAATAAGAAAATGCATGTCTAATATAGTTGGAAAGAGAGGTATCCTCGAAATTGGTTTAGAGAGAGAGAGAGATCCCTCAAAATTGGTTTAGAGAGAGGGGAAATCCAAAAATTGATTGTGTAGATTTGAGAGGGAGAGAGTCCCTAAAAAATGGTTTAGAGAGGGAGAGAGAGAGGAGAGAGTCCCTAAAAAATGGTTTAGAGAGAGAGAGAGAGAGAGA